ATCAGTTTGATAACTGGAGCAACCCATAGAGTGTTGGCATGACTTCCCAGGTATAACACAATCATCATCAGACGAATGTGTTTCCCTCTAGGGATATGACGCTTTATTAGCGTTTTCAAATGTCGCTCGTTCAAGTCTATGCTTTTGCGAGCGTGAAAACTTAACGGGCTCTTAAAGTTCGACCCGTAATCCAATGCGGTCGGTAACAGGGGCTTTCCCTTTGTTATCTTTCTTGAGGGGATTAGCACGACCCCCAGTCTGGTTTGTTGTTTGGGGACCTTTCAACGGTCCCAATCGCTCCTTGACAGGTGCCTTGCCTCGATCTTCTGGTAAAGGGCTGAGGCGACCTCTCAAAGGAATCCTGGATCTTGAAGAATCCACGTTCTTACCTGGCTCCGCCGGAGGTGCGGGAGCAGGGGAAACGGAATCTGGACTTGAGGAAGGCTGGACGATACCTCCGTCCCCTTTTATCTTAGGTGCCGGCTTCGCCTTTGGCACCCACACTTGCTTGAGTTTTGACGGCTTCTTGACCGTTTCTTCTTTCTGCATCTCTTCCGCTTTCTGCAGAAGGGCTCGGGCATGCGCAAGCAATGCGCGGTGTTTCTTGATTCGCTCTTTGAGGGTTGAGCGAGTCCTCTTGACACGAACCCATTTGTTCATCTCTGTCTTGGAAGAAGTGTTGGTTGTGCGCCGTTGTTGCTCTTGGCGCTGTCTGGACTTTAGATCTTCATTGTAGCGGATCCCGTCCATCGATTCTGCGGCCTTGGCCAGTTGTCGTGCAAGGCGTTGGCGCCGTCTTTGGCGCACCCTCTTTGACAAGGTTGGAACACCTTCAGCAGTTGACTTTGCGGCGGAAGGGAGATCTGGATCTGCCGCTTCCACCACGTTAGACAACATAGGAGAGTCGCGGGGGGTAAGTGCAACGGCAGTGAGGGGATCTTGGATCTTCGATCCGGAGGGCCCGCGAGCACTCTTGGAAGATGAAGTCTTCCTGCGCCCGTTTGGAGAGGCGGATCTGGAGGAGGAGGAAGAGAGGTACTCTTCAAACTTCTGTTGATCGAACTCGTATTCGATCTCTTCGTTCACCCGGATCTTAAAGGCCGGTTGCGTCACGACGGCCTCGGCAGCGAGGCCGTTGGCTCCCACTTTGGTCGCCAGTTTGTTTTCGTCGAAAGTTGCCTTCATCATTGATTTCATTAAAACTTCAAACGTTACAAATGAATTCAAACAACAAAGAAATAAAAATTACAACTTTCTTGAAAATAAACACAAGATCCGTTCGTCGTCTCTTGCTTGCGTGGGTCTTTAGCCTGTGACGGGGATGTTGATATCCGTGGACTACCTGGCAATCAGATCTGATCCAGAGCTTCGTCGATCCGCGAGGAGATCTAGAAACTTGAAGCGCCTATCTCGATAAAAGCGAGATAATTGCTCTTCTTAGAATTACTCCTCTCTGAAATCTGTGTACTTTTAAGTCTTCAATCCGGCAGGGCTTCGCCGAGGCACACGAATTCCAGATCTCAAAAAAGTGAGGCCTAAGGCTTGTATTTATAGGCATGAGGGGTTGCGGAGCGGTTAAAACCACTTAAAGGGCCCAAATCCGCGCCGAGACACCCTTGGGGTGTCTTGGCTTGGCCGAGACACCCCTGGGGTGTCTTGACTTGGCCGAGACACCGTAGGTGCCTCAGTTCAGCTCTGAGACGTTTTCAATGCCCGTTTGACTGTTTTCGCTGTAACTTCTTTGTCTGAACTCGGATCTGAGTGATTCCAAATGCGTTGGAAAGCCAACAAGGAGTTCTATCGGATCCAATGGTTGGATCATCTGTAGAATGAATGAGACACGAAGGGCATTGTTCCCTTTGTAAACATTACGGGGCTCCCGATTAGCCGAAGGGCATTGTTCCCTTTGTAAACATTACGGGGCTCCCGATTAGCCCGCACCTTCGTTATTCCGGAATTCTGTCAGCTCACGTAGTTCGTCGATTCACTTCAAGCGTTCACCGACGTCAATCGAACTCTTGTGAACCGGATAGTGACGTTCATCGTCATTCCTTAACACTGAGCTGTTCGTAGAGACCTATAGGCAATTTTCGATGCCTACAATGACAGTTTTTAATTGTTCAATATTTTAATACATAAAATATTATCGATCTTATAATCATCTTATATTATTTTTCATTCGATTCCAAATATATTCCATAATTATAGATTACTCCGGGACTGATTTATGAACCATCTTATTCTCAAACTCAATATCTTGAAAATTAGTCATTTCGTAATGGTAAACACGCAGATGCACAAAAAAATAACAACCAAGAACTTGTAAATTATTAAAAATGACATAATTTTTGAGGAATTCCGTTGTTTAAAAGCTAAAAAAACCCTTTATCTATGAAAGGTATTAAAACCATTAATATTATAAATAGACACTTGCATGTCTTGAAAATACACTTCTTTTTAGAACGATCCATATGGGAGCGGACCGTTTTAGCTGCGCATGAGGTGTGAAATTACAAATTTGCCCCCACACCACACAAAAAAAAAATCACATGCGCGGCTCAAACAACCCACTCCCATGCAGATAGAACTGAAGAGATGCAAACTCTAGATCAGAAAAGAACTTACAGAGTTTCAAATGGAAAAGGAAGAAAATGGATGGTAGAAGTTAGTTTTTTGGTGAAGTAAAATATAATCATATTATTATTGATTTAGAAATTTCATATCTAGATGTTTGTTAAGACGTCTAAAATAATGAAACTCTATATAAAAAAAGGGTACACTTCATTTATTAAAAAAAGACAAAAAAACCAGTTTAAACAAGGTTTTTTGTTTAAATTACTTTTCAGATCAACGTTTGTTTTGAGAAAAGAAAATATGTAAGGTTTTTTTTATAATTTACGCTGAGATTTGACGTGAGCGTAATTAATATACGAACTAGCTCCACTCCAGTCTCTTAAAAGTCGGGTACAAATCCGAATTTAATTTCCAGAGAAATATGAAATCTCTACAAAATTCCTCTCTATTTCAGACATATATTCGAGGAATTTATTAAGTTTTATCCAAATCGACAGTAGCTATGAATACCAAAATGGCCGAAACTTTTCGAACAGGAAGTTTCCTCCAAAATTTTCATATTTTGCTTTTCAAGTTACGCCGTTTTAGGGATTTTAGTTTTATTCATCAAAATTTTGAAATAAAAATTACTCTTATTTGATGCCGAGTAGTTCTACAATAGAGCTAGTTAATTACTTTTTAGGAAAACTAGTATGCAAAACGTGCGTTGCACGTTATGCATGTTAAGGAACCATATAAGACAAAAGTTGAATGCCAACTAACATTTCTTACTACTGTTTTCAATATGCCTCTCCAATATAAGGTGAATCTAGATGATGCACACTGTCAGGGTATGCTCCCAAGAATCCTTCCTTCTTCTCGATCTCCTTCAATTCTTCAGGCGTAAGCCTTACTGAGAACCCTGTAAATGCAGTATCATAATAGTAGATCATTCGCGACCGAGCAAATTCTTCGGAGTTATTGGGCAAAAATGATCTATACCATTTCCTAAGCTCATTTTGGTCCAAATGAGCTTTTTTTGGTGGAGCAACTTGAATTATGTAAGTCTTCAGATTATCGTTGGTATTATTTTGGTTGATGGATGTAACAAATTGACATAGATTTGAAGAGAAGAGGAAGAAAAAGAATAGGAATGAAGAAACCATTGTGTTCATTTTTTTCCTTTGGAGATCAAAGTTTGGTGGTTTTGGGCACCAAATGAGAGTGCTACTTATAGATGATGTAGGTTTGATGGTTATTAGTGAAGCATTTATAGATGTACATTGCGAATTTAGTTCACAAAAGCAATACGTTAGATTTGTGTAAATGATAATAAAGGAATATCCGTTATGAAACATAATTTGTCAAAGTAATAAAAGATATGAAAAATTTAAGAAGGAGAGGTCTTAAGAAAAGCATCTAGAAAAGGCACGTACTAACTAAAAGAAATATGTTCTTATGTGATATATTTGGGGGCTTGGGATGAGATGTGAAGATAAAATTTATTTAAAATCAACCGACCTTTGAATAAAAAAGCAACTAAGTAAATGACAATAAACTAGTCCTTATCTTTACCTCTTGCTACTTTCCTTATCATTTGAGTTATTAGAAAATTAAGGAACGAGATGTGCTAATAAAAATTCACAAATTTTGACTCACTAACAAAGGCCAGATCAAAAAAAAAAAGACTCACTCACTTCAACACTCAACTCACTCCTACATCATTTTATTTATTTGATACGAAATTATATCAGGTTTTCTTAACTCATTTCTTTCGTGTCTGGCGATATTCCCAAACAGCTCCAAGCGATGTCATTACTTCTTTAAAAACTTTATTAGCCTCTTCTTCATCTTCAATTTTAACTATGTTATGGGTGATCAAGCAAGAGGCTTCAACATTAGTAATTTTTTGCCTTCATTTTTGGGACATCACTCTCAAAAGAAAACTGAGCTTTCTCAAGTTCATGTTCACTGGGTCCATAGTCTGAATCGTTGGCCTCTTTCTTCTTTTTCTTCCTTACTTCATATTTCTTGTCCTCCTCATCATTGAAGTATTCTTCTATAGACGGTTCTTCTTCATCGTCTGATAGCATTTTTCTTAATATTGGTTTGTCCCAAATGATTTGTCATCACTCGAAGAGATTTCAATCACATCACGCTTAGCCATACTTCTAATTGCAAATGGGTTGGGTACAGACTTACAAAATTTGATTTGTTTGTTACTTGCACTTTTATTATAAAAAGATGCCATTAATTCAAAATCAGCACTTTTATGGTCACTATATTACTTCTGTTTTTATATGAACAGTAATGTTGTGGGTGGAATGAAGAACACATCATACTACTTTTGTAGTTGATACTTGTGTTCATTTTACTCCTTTCTGAGTTGGCATTAGGAATAGTTGATATTAGTTGCGTAATTCACTGTCTTCCTGTTAATAACTCAGGTACATGATCTCTTCAAATATTGGTGAAGTTGCTTCCATATTTTTAACAGCAGCGTTAGGCATTCCTCCTGAAGGATTGATACCAGTCCAACTTTTGTGGGTTAATCTTGTAACTGATGGACCTCCTGCTACGGCTCTGGGATTTAATCCTCCAGATAGAGACATTATGAAGAAACCTCCACGCAGGAGTGACGACTCTTTGATCACTGCATGGATCTTATTTCGTTATCAGGTGAGTGATTTTGAGTTTGCTACATTTAGGATGATAGTTGAAGCCACTGTCATTTCTCAGCATATCTAAGTTTCTGGATAGGTATTCCATACCCAATATAAAGAGATAAGGAGAAAGAGGGTCTCCTTGTCTCAAGCCTCTCTTACGCTTGAAGTATCCATGAAGGGATCCATTGAGGGATATGGATAATTTTGGATTAGATATGTTGGCTATGACCCAAGTAATCATCAGTTCAGGAAAACCCAGCCCCTTAAGCATTTCATGAATGAATTTCCAACTGATAGTATCAAAGGCCTTTTTAATATCTATGTTTAGCATGATTCAGGGGGAAATATGCTTCCTATTATAGCCTTTAACTAGCTCATGTGCTAACAAGATGTTACTTGTTATATGCCTTCCTTTAATAAATGCATTTTGTGCTTCATTCACCAGAGATCCCATGACAGTCTTAATCCTGTTGGCTAAAATTTTAGAAATGATCTTGTATAGGCAATTGCAACAAGATATGGGCCTGAAATCTGAGGGAGTTTTGGGGCACTTCACTTTGGGTATAAGAGTTAAGGAGGTTGAATTTACCACACCCAGTACTTTGCCTGTTTTGAAAAAATCCTCAATGGCAAGAGTGACATCTTCACCTATTATTGACCATGTAGATTTGAAGAATAAGGCTCCAAAACCATCTGGCCCTGGGGACTTATTATCATCCATAGAGAACAGTGCATCTTTGATTTCATCTTTGGATATTGATTTTGATAATAAGCTGGCTTGTGAAGCAGACAGATAGGGACCAGAATGAATGACCCTTGTATCTGGGGTTGCTGTATCAATTGCTACTCCCATGAGATTTTTGTAGTAGGACACAAATTCCCTTGCAATTTCATCCCCCTCAGTTAATCTTTGTCCCTGGCTGTTATGAAGGACCATTATTTTGTTGTAGTAGATAAAAGAAGGATTTAAAGGGTAAGCTTGGAGATTTTTTTGAACCTCTTCCAAAGAATGTTTTGCTCTTTGAACTTGTTCACTTATGTTACTGAAATGTCTCTTGTTGAGATCTTTTAGGGCACCTCTAAGTTGTTTCAGTTTTGTGCATACTGAATACATTTTGTAGCCTGAAATTTCAGATTGCCAGATTTTAGAATCAGTAGGTATGAACTTGTCATGCTTTGTCCACATATTAAAAGGTCTTTTGCCTTGGACATTATCTTCAAAAATAGAGATCAGAGCAGGAGAGTGGTCAGAGAAGCTAGGAAGTAAGTATTCTACCTAGCTAGAACAAAACATGTGCAACCAAGAGTCATTCACCAAAGTTCTGTCCAATCTACTCCAAATTCTAGAGTTTGCATCTTGCTTGTTATTCCATGTGTAAAAGCACCCCATAGTATTAAGATGATTGAGCTGACAGTCATATATAAAATCACTGAAGTCTCTAAAATCAGCCTCTGAAAGCAAAGCACCTCCAATTTTCTCTTCATTATTAATTACTGAGTTAAAATCCCCACTTAGGAGACACGGAGAATTACCAATAGTTTGGAATACATCCTTCAGTTCTGACCATAAACTCCTTCTGGCATTTATTTGATTAAACCCATACACTGCTGAAATGAAACTCTCAAATCTTCCATCCAATGATTTAACCTTGCAAGTGATATGTTGAGTTGATAGGACTTCAACTTTAATATCCAGAATATTAGGATCCCACATAATAATAATCCTGGCTTTTCCAGCAAAATTTATATTTGATATCCAGCTCCAGTTTCTAGCTATTTTCTTGGCAATAATTAGCAATTTGCTATCATTTATTTTTGTTTCTAGTATAGCTTGACAAGAAATGTGATATTGAGATATATGATTTTTCACTAAATATTGTTTAGAGGATTTGTTCAATCCCCTAACATTCCAAAAGGAGAGATTCATCCTAGCTGCACCCCTCTATCAATAGAGGGGTTATTATCTAGAACATCCAGTAGAGAGAATGATTTATCAATCACAACAGGTTGCTTTTCAGCCTTCCATTGAATTTTCACCCAGGGACCCTCAGCTTGATGTAGGGATCTTCCACCACTTCCATGTTGCAAAACATGCACAGTCCCTGAACCCAGACAGGATGAACAGTCTCCTTTAGTTAGCATGCCTATTTGCTGACCACTTGTCTTGTGACTCACATCTATTGGTTTTGGTATTAATTGCTGAAAATGTTCAGTTTGCACAGAAAACCTGAGCAAGAACTGCTTCCTTCCTGTCCCTGTAGGTTTATTGTGCCCCCACATTCAGTCTGGTGCTTTTTCTGGCTATGAGTATACATAGGCTCCAAACAATCATGTTTACCAGATCCCTTAACTTGCTGGTGGGCTGAGGTCTCATAATTCACCAGGTGAGCATGCACAACATGCACATGAGACAAGTGTGCCTTATTACCATAACCCATTTCTACCAAATCCTTATCAATAGCCAAGTTCTGAGAGACAGGTTTAATCTTATCATGCTCAGAATTCATCTGTGCTATATTGTCAACTTTTTGCTTTGGAATCTATTTTGGACTTTGGGATGTTTTTTTACAGAAGTTTGAATCATGTCCTATAACTTTGCACCAGTCACACCACCTTAGCTTATATTCATAAATCACCCTTTGTTTATATTTATTTCCATCAGGACCTTTTATGGTGATATGGTCAGGGAGAGGAGAGAGAATTTTCACCTCCACCAGCACCCTAGCATATGCCAGACGTTGTTTATTTGCAGTAAGTTTATCTGTTGCAACATGCTTTCCTATCACACTGGCAATTTTGCTAATGCCTTTAGCATTCCACAAATTAAGCCTTAGAGCTGGTAACTGAATCCACAAGGGGTAAATGCATTCATCTGATTTACCAATTTCCTCCCCAATAGTCCAAGGTTTCAACAGAAATGGTCGTGAGCCAAAGAACCAAGGACCCTTACCCAAGATTTCATTCATATCATCTTTACTTTTGAATTTTAACAAGAATAATCCTGCTTTGAGAAGGCATATATCAGGTATAGGAGACCAAAGCTTATGAACATAGCTCTCCATAGCCTTAAATCTAATATTGACCCCCAAAACCTGACCAATTAGGGAGAAATTCCACATAGAAACTCCCTCATTCCATTCCTCATCATTGAAAATAACTGCATCTTTATCTTCTGAAGGCATATAATCCAGATCCATTCCATTCCCTACTTTCCTGATGTCGGCAAATAAACTAGACCAACTTTTTGTGACATTTTTTCTGTAGATGAACTAGGCGCTACTTTATTTTTTGAATCAGATTTTGTGGTTTCCTCAAGTATCAAAGGGGGAAAACTTGAGCCATTTGGCTCAAGAAAATCAAGATTATCCGCTTTCAAATTCAAAGAATCCCTAGAATCCTTGATTGACTCCTTAGGAACATTTATCCCCTCATTAACAGAATAAGAAACAGAGGAATCATTCTCCATCTCGGATTCTTGAGCCCAAGAAATCCTAGCTGAATTATTCACGCCATTAAAAGGAGAAGGAGACTTACAGAGATTGCGAGCTTGAACATGATTAAGATCCAGCCTAGAACTCTTAGGATCCGAAGCAAGAACTCCTAACCTCAGAGGATCATCAACAAGATCCATCCTAGAGCTTGAAGCAAGAATTTCCTCCATCGATCTTGAATTCCTATTCCCTTTTGGACCAGTTGATCCCATTACTGTAGGTGTCTTTATGTCGATTGATCTAGGGCCAGAGATATATCCATCATCATCATCGTTGGATTGATCATCCAAGGCCTTTGAACTTGAATTCGAAGCTCCTAATCCAATGTTCAGAAGCTTGATTCCTCTGATCTTCTTCTTCCTCGCCATTAGAATCTCAGCGGGGGAGCAGGTTAGCAGAGGAATCGCCTGCTAACTTGCGCCATGTAACCGCCCAACCGTTTTTTTTCTTTGCAGTTATACTAATATGTAAGGCGGTCGACCGCCAAAACTCCAGAGACTCTGATTAGGAGAAGGATTCGTCGCGGTCGACTGTACGTGGCGCGGCGATCGACCGCGAGTCGGGTTTTGACCCAGTTACAGTTTTTGACTTATTTCCTTTTTTATTTGTAAAACCCTTAAGTCTATAAAAGGGTTGATTAGGGCATGATGTAAAAAAGACGAAAATAGTGAAATTTTCTCCTGCGACGGCCGTGGACGTAGTTTCTCACATTGAGAAGCGAACTACGTAAATCTTGTGTGTTTGTGATTGATCAAATTCTCTCTTCTCTCCTAAATCTTTATTTCTAAATCACATCAGGGGGGTTGTGCATCCCCAACAAGTGGTATTAGAGTGACCAGGTTTGGCGCGAGCGATTTGAGGTAAGAGACATGGGATCTAAGAAGGAAACATCCAAGATTGAGAAGTTTGATGGAACAAACTTCGGGTTCTGAAAGATGCAGATGGAAGACTACCTCTATCAGAAGGATTTATACCTACCATTGGGAGAGAAGCCGATGGATATGAAGGATGCGGATTGGAAGCTATTGGATCGAAGGGCCCTTGGAGCGATCAAGTTGACCTTGTCTAAATCAGTAGCGTTCAACATCAAGAATCAGAATACGACGGCGGATCTCATGGCGGCGTTGTCTAGTATGTATGAGCAGCCCTCTGCGGCGAGAAAGGTACATCTTATTAAAAAGCTGTTTAATTTGAGGATGTCCAAGAGCTAGAAATTCAAGGAACACCTGAACGAGTTTAACGGGATCACGGATCAACTAAACTCGGTCAATATTCAGTTTGACGATGAAATCCAAGTCCTCTTGATACTTGGTCAATTACTCGACAGTTGGAAGGGTACCGTTATCTCGATTAGC